CCCTCGAATAAATGCCCCCCCCCCCCTCTCAAATAAATCCTGCTGTGACTCAGGACAACAGCAAAGACTCGAGTGTTTGGATGTTCTCTCACATCAGTGCCCCTCTCACTCTCACAACGTCTTCTGGAAAATCTTGCTGTGTATAAATACATTTGAGGAATGATACTGTTATTTAATTAAGCTTCTTCTTTTCTTTTTTTTTATCTGATTGTAGCGATACTATAAGATTTTGAATCTTCAGCGTGGATTCTACTCAGTCAGGTGTTTATAGGTCTTGGTCTCTTCGACGAGCCCCTTAAAGTACAATCATCGGTCAAAGCTCAGACCTGAAAACTCTTTAGAGCTCCAGAGTAATTCCACTGAAGTAGAGAGTTTATATTTTCAGTATTAAATTACTTTAAAAAGAATCCCGGATTTGAAAAGGCTCTTCAGCTCCCCCTCCACTGACTGCAGTAACGTGCTGTTGGTGATTACTAACTCCCACCAACTTAAAATGGCTCCTAAAGATGTATTCGCTGCTTTGTTGGAGCTGTAGCTTTCGGTTTTGGTGGATTGAACTCGAGCAGGCATAATATGTAGCTTATTTTATCAGCTGTGTGTTCTGTTTCTGATAAAAACGCCATCCACCGTCCTCCCTCGTTGTCACTGACTCGCACTGTATTAGCCGTGAGGTGCTTCTAGAAACAACTGGTGCTCGCCACTCTCCGTTCTGTCAGTCCCCCTACCTGTGGTTCTCCTGTTCGAGTCAGACCATAACCGATGTTCCTCCGCTGATGAGGGGGGGCCTCTCCGGGTCTTCCCATCACTCAGCCTTCAAAAAACTTTGCTGCTCAGAGTGCGAAAGGGGGAGGGGGTCGCAGGTCAGCACGGGGGAGAGAAAAACCGATGTTTCGCTGGACGTCGATCAGAGTTGAAGAAAACTTGGCCTCGTCTGTGTTTGGGTTTTTGCACGTAAATATTCTCTGTACTTTTCAAGCAGAAGCCCCGGACGGCGTTCAGACTGATGCTCCGGTTGGCGGCGGTGTGGACGCGCACTTATCTCCTCCTCCATAGCACCAAAAAGGCAAACTTTTTCTCACTTACCTCTAGTTGTATTTACCTTTTACAAAAAGTGAATGCATCTCTGAGGAATTTATTTGGTGCTAGAAGACTGAACATGTGACATTTAAAGATTCAACTGTCAAACCTGGACAAATACAAACACTAAAAACTCTCCATATATAGATGCAGCTAGTGGTGAGTGGGCAAATGTTTTGTTTTTATTTTAAATATCTGTGAATTAACCCTTTACAGTCAGTAGCGGGCATATTGGGAGAGCTGGTTAGAACTGATTCTGATATTGGGACCAAAACTTGTGAGATCATTTAAAGTCACAAACGTTAACATCTGGCTACAAACTGTTTCTTAGAGCCGCTCCACCCAAACGCTGGTAACATCGCTAACATGCACTCAGAAAACAGCTTTCAGTCACCTGTAGTCCAGATGGAAATATGTCCACATAGAAAAGCCTGACAGCGTCTCAAAGATAATATGAAAAGCCAGGAAAATCACATCTGATGTGTGTGACAAAAATGATCTTGCATGACCTCATTGCATTTGTACGGAAGAGGATTAGGGCCAAATGTAAACATTTTATTCTGAGTTTGGAGTTTAAAGTACAAAAAAAAAGAAGAAGAATTCTGACTTTAAACTCAAAGAAAACTTTCACATTTGGCCCTAATCCTCTTCCATACATTTGCCATTTCCCATACTGACATCTTCTGAATAATCCTAATTTCCATAACAATCCTGATTTATGAACAGAATCTCTTTTAACCCTCCGTTTGTCTGACTGACAACAATCTCAAACTTTTTTATCACCACAACTCACGTTTAGTTTTCCCCCTCACACCTTTTATGCACTGCGACATGAAAACTTTTTTTAATTTTTTTGCTAAACGGATGTTCCAACCGGCAGGAAAACCGGGCGAATCGCTGAATCCTGTCGAGTTTCTTTGGGGTTGTCGTCGGGGAAACGGGCCTCCTCAGTTCAGAGGGCGAGTCGCGGGCTGCAGATTTGCTATTTATGAGACGTGTGCTTCTTCGTAAGAGCTTGACGGTAATTCCATTGATGAAGTGAGAATATATTTTTAGTTGTAGATGGATTTGAAAATGCTTGGAAAACAAAAAAAAGTTACTTTTTTCTTTTGCCCGGTGATATAATTCTCGCCCCCCCGTGTGAATTCTCAAGAGCGATTTATCTGATGTCATGCTAACGGACGGCAGTGACCTTTTCCTTTTGTATTGATCCGGGGGCCGTTTGCTGAGCAAGCATGCTCTTGGAATTATAGCCGGTCCTCACTTTCCACTGAGCTACCTGAGGACCCCGAAAGTTGTTTGCTGTTGACCTGGATTTGAAACAAAATAATAAAAAAAACACAAAAACAACAAAGAATTCCTTTTGCACATAATGATGTCTTTGATTTGTTGGTTGTCTGGTGAGATTAAATCAGTGGTTCAGACTCTAAATGAAGAGTTTTGAGTTCTCTTTTGTTGTTTAATGCAGAAGGAGAATAAACGACACGAGAACTCAAGGATCAGTAAAAACAAAAGCTTTATTTTTAGTCCAAAACACTTCTAGGTTATGTAAAAAAGTATTTGGACACAAGTTGTTTTAATGTTATTTTTCATGGTTTGAGCAGAAACCTCTTATTGCCAATGAAGGAAAATCTTAAAGCTCCCATATTTTCCACTTTAAAAACCATAAAAAGATATATTTGTGCTTTTAAGTACAATGAAAATCAACAGGTTTACAACAGCTTGTTTACTGTTTTATGTCATTAATATTAATGAGAGTTTTAAAGGCAACTGTCTTCACTATTATAATATACTATAATTTGTTGAAGTAATTTACTTTTCTTCTTTAGAAAAACTTTAAATCTCCAATCTGCATAAAGCTAGAAAATTTAATGAACAGTTGCTTTCAAAATTGACTTTTTTTGTCAACCGATTTCTTTTACAGCGCAAATAATGAAGTTGAGAGTAAATTGTCTCAACAGTTTCCTGGTCGGCTAATGTAAAAACTTGAAATAGTCCAGACAGTTGCCTCAACCGTTAGTGTGTGTGGATTGAGCAGTTTTAAACTTTCACAGTATTTACATTTATTTATCTATATAAATACCTGTTTTATAATCAAAAAGAAATCTAACTTTCTACAATATAAAACCTTTAATTCTGCTTCATACAGTGATATCAGCACACAGCACACTGTCAACAGTTTAAAAAAAAATCATTGTCATATATTTAACATAACGTTCCCTTCCCTGGATTAGGTTGTGTTTAAGAGCTGGTCCCAGGTCTGAAGGATGAAGGATGGTGACATTGTAAAGTTCCTCTTTGTACACTTCCTCATTATGGGCAGACACACTGATGAAGATGTATCTGCAATAAGCTGATATTCTCTGATATATTGGTCGGGATCTAATGACGAAGCTCCCTTCAACAAAGCCAGGACCATAAACAACCAGCTGTGACTCAGGAGGTAGAGCACTAATCAGAAGATCGGTGGTTCGATCCCCGCCTGCTGCACGTCGAAGTGTCCTTGAGCAAGAGATCTACCGTGAGGCCCGGCAACCTTATCTCCTCACATTGTGAAACAATATTTAAAAACATGGGATTAATTACTTTCCTATAATGTGGAGGATCAGACTGCTGCAGTGTTATTATTCAGTCTGAACTCTCCATATTCGCTCATTCTCTATTTAATTCTACTAAATCCCAGTGACAGTGATACATCCTGATTCATTCACTGTTTTTAATTCAGCTCAGTGTAAAGACTTCGTCCCGGAGCAGGTAGAGTCCGGTGTGAGTGAGACCCTGGCCCGGCTGCTCGGGGCCGCTCGGGGCCGCTCGGGGCTGCAGATGGACAACAGATGAAGAGCAGGAATGTGTAAGTTGGACGTAAAACATCAAACACCTCTGCAGAAGGTCCCAGAGGACTGAGATCACATTGCAGTGTCTACACTTCGTATACATTTTCATTTTGTTTCCTCCTCTCCTCTTCTGCCTCAGTAAATATGAGAATGTCGTAAACTTTCATCCTGAGTGTCGACAGGAGTTATTACTGTAACTCCAGTGCTTATTTCAGTGCTCTCACTAGTTAAGAATGGACTGTTTGATAGAAAACAGAAAAGTTTCAGGAGGTTTGTGCTCGACTTTGAAGTGAAGTCATGATATATGACGCTCAGGCTCCTGAGGCTGGAGGCACCCCCCCCCGCACATAATAGACTGTTCAAAAGAAAAAGCTTCATTTGCCTTCGGACCGTCACTGCAGGTACGTCTCTACATTTTAATTCCTGCAGATGAAGCTTTGACTCTTTGTGGCTCACAATAGAAGATACTGTGTGTGTGTGTGTGTTTCCAGAAACAGGTATAAGGATGAAGGCTGCTGGAGTTCTGTTCATCTTATCGGTGACTCTGAGTGCTGCTCAGAAACAGAAACTAGCCCAGAGAGCGGAGTGGGATTACAGGAATGAAGGTTAGCAGTAACGTAAATACACTTACTGAAGTTTGGGATCTTTCCTCGTGTATTTTCTGCTTTTCCGTCAGTCATTGTGGAGACTTCACTGCAAAAACAGAAACCGTGAAAACTCACTCACTGATTTAAGAATTTGTATCTTTAATCTAAGATTAATAATTAGCAAAAAAAAAAAGAGTTTACAATAAGACACAATTTCTTTTCACTGCGTAATGAAAATAAGTGGCTTTAACTTTAATGAAGGCACCAGAAACAATCTTATTTTTACCATTTTTGTATTGTTCATTTCCAACACTGGGACCAGACGACTTTCTCTTAAACTGAGACGTTGTGTGTGTGTACTCTGAAAATAAGGACAATAATCTTGTTCCTCTGCTGGAATATTATGCAACCCATTGTTGTTACATCAAGCTCAATATTAGCTGTAAT